CCTCGGGGGAGACCTTGATCTGGAGGAGGTGGGAATGGGGGGTGGGCTGGGGGGAGGGGTGGGCGAGAGGGGGAGAACAGGGGATTCTGTGGCTATTATGTTGAACTGAATGGTGTTGTAAAATAATAATAATAATAATAATAATAATAATAATAATAATAATAATAATAATAATAAAAAAAAAATGTCAGTACCTAGAAAAAAAAAAAAATTTACTGGGTCTCAGGTTTTAGAGGTGAGAGTCGGCGATCACGGCAGCAGGCAGGCATGGCACTAGAGCTGAGAGCTTACACTGACCCACAAGCACTGGGCAGAGAGAGAGAAGAGAGCTAACTGGGAATGGCTTTTGAAACCTCAAAACCCACCCGTAGTGACACACCTCCTCCAACAAGGCCACACCTCCTCATCCTTCCCAAATAGTTCCATTACCTGGAGACCAAGTATTCAATATATGAGCATATGGGGCCCAGTCTCATTCAATCCACAACACTAGGCAGGAGTCCCACCACTGGGATCCTCCCAGTCCTTGGGTTTTATGAGATATGATCTAGGTAGCTCAGGCTTGACCCCACCACGTAGCAGAGGTGGACCTCAAACTCTCAACCCCCCTGCTTCTGCCTCCAGCGTTCTTAGATTACAGAAATACACCAACATGCCCAGCATGTGCCGCTTCTCTTGTGTGCGCGTTTAGAGCTATGAATCTCTCTCAAAACTTCAATAGCTGCGTTTCACAGACTTTGATATATAGCGGATTTAGTGTCATTTAATTCAATGTTTTATTTCCCTCAAGACTTCTTTTTGACTCCTTGGTTATTTTTCAAAACCTGTCTGGTTCCCATATGTTTGGAGCCTTTCCTGTTACTTTTCTGTTACTGATTTCCAGTTGGAGTCCATAGAGTTTGAGAACACGTTCTGTGTTTATTCTCTTAAACTGGTTCCAATTTGTTTTATAACCCAGAATATTGTCTCTTAGTACGTACTCCATGAAGAATGGGACAAAAATGTCAGGAGGGGCAAAACAGACCCAGGCCATGAAAGGAGTATGTATTATGATGTTTCCAGGTTAATGTTCCCTAAATGTGAATTTCAGTCCTGATGGTTGGTGGTAGTAGAGTGATAACTTCAACGACTTCTTCCTCTTCTTCATTTGTTTGTGTTTGTAGACAGCATCTGTCTATCTCCCCCAGGCCGGCCTTGAACTTACAGTGTGGTCCTGCTGCCTCTTCCTTTCAAATTCTAGGATTACCAGCATGTGCCGTCACACCTAGCTCAGCTTCGAGAGTCCTTTGTATCCTTGTTCTATCAATTGCTCTATCGATTGTTGAGGAAGGGGAAGTGTAGCCCCCCCCTGCCCCCCCCCAGCCGTAATGGTGATTCGCCCACTTTTCTTCTCAGGTCAGCCGGTTTTTCTTCAGATATTTTGCAGTTTTGTTGTGTGGAACCTGAAAATTTTTAGCAGGCCTGAGCATGGCAAACATGGCTCTTGCCTTCCTCTATTCCCTCTGCCTTGCTGAACTGATCGACTACATTCCTCAAGCTAGCCAAGGTCTATTCCCTTTCATAGCCACTTCCTCTTCCTGAAGCTGACTACCCAGGTTCAGCTGTCAAAGTGCTGAAGCCCAGCAATCAAAAGCCGCCTTTTGGTCACCTTAATTAACATGCCCAATCAAAGCAAACCAACTCATCCTAACACTGGGTTTCCTCTTTTCCCTTTATAAACTGCCATTTGCCTTTGGGCCACGATCCTATCTATCCAGAAGCAGTCCTTTGTCCCTCCAGAGCAAATATCCCTTCCTCTTCTCCCTTGTTCCCTTCCCCTTCTCCTTCATCCTCTCTCTCCTGTCTTTGTCTTTTATTCCCTGCCCTTTGTCCCTCTGGGGCAAATAAGTCTCTTTTGTGCTGAGAACTTGATCATGGGGTGTCCTGTGGTGAATCAAGTCCTTTCAGTACATATACACTCACGATGACTATCCTCCAGATGGATTGACTCTTTTTTTCTTTCTTTTTTTTTTTTTTTTTTTTTTTGGTTTTCCAAGACAAGGTTTCTCAGTGTAACTTTGCACCTTTCCTGGAACTCACTCTGTAGACCAGGCTGGCCTCGAATTCACTGAGATCTGCCTGGCTCTGCCTCCCGAGTGCTGGGATTAAAGGCCTGCGCCACCACCGCCCGGCTGACTCCTTTATTACACAGTAACACACTCTACCTCTTACTCCTGAGCGGTGGTAGAAAATCCACCAGGCCTCTCAACATCGTCCAGAGGGGAAGGAGGAAGAGTTTGGCTGGTACCTCCCGCTTGCCCCTGCGTGATCTGGAAAGCCCCATTGCCTCTCTCTCCAAACCCCGCCCATACAGAGAGTCTCCAAACAAAGGAGAGGTGCCAAGAAGCCCAGTTCCGTATCCTTGGCGACTACTGCATTTTCCTCCCCTGAAGTTGCCAGCTGCCCAAGTCCCCGCCTGAAGCAGTCAGCTTTTGACCACACTTGGGCACAATCCCAGCTTGTGGAGGACACATCATTACCCAGTGCCTGCAATCTATAAAGTCTCTCTGCTTTCGTTTCTAGGTGCAGCTTCTCTGGCCTCCATCTCTGGGACTAGAGAACCCACCCGGGAGTTACTTTGCTCAAATAAACTTGTCGCTATACTTTTTCAATTAGGCTTAATCTGACTTATTGCATCGGCAGAGAAACTTATTATGGGGAGGGGGGCGCTAAGAAAACCTATAAGAAGGTTTTCTTACTGCTGAGAGTTTTAGGGAGCTGGAAACTGGGGCTCCCCACTTGGCCTCTACGACATTGCTCTAACTGGAGTGTTGAGGTGTCCCGTCACAGTCCTTCAGAGTTGGAAGTCTCGCCGGGCGGTGGTGGCACATGCCTTTAATCCCAGCACTCGGGAGGCAGAGCCAGGTGGATCTCTGTGAGTTCAAGGCCAGCCTGGGCTACCAAGTGAGCTCCAGGAAAGGTGCAAAGCTACGCTGTGGGCGTCATGGGCCCTGGCCCCCGACTGTGAGTGGCTGCAGCCTTGCTTGCTGACCTCTTCCAGGTGTCCTCCCTATTCAGATTCCCTGCC